ATTTTTATGACAAGTGGGGCGGGGCTGAGAGCCATGGGAGCCAAGCCAAGCCTCGCTTCCATGGTCCCACCCCACTCATCACAATGATAATTATATACAACTTGCTTCCATTAACAGCACATTCATTCAGATCTTTATAGTTAAGTGCTAGTTAGCAACAGCACACTAGCAAGTACTAATGTAGTTATCAAAAAGACTCACAATACTTGCATGTAAATAGTCAAACAACATGCAGTATTAATAGTCTTTAAGTTTTGCTGTCCATCCTCAACCTAACCACAGGCTCTACTCTTCACCACAACGGTAACACTACAAAACCAACATAACAGAAACCTATGTAAATCCTAACATAACACAACATTTAAGTACTAACTTATGTCTCTCTATGTTAATCTTGTGTAAAAACACACAAAATAACACTTAATTTCTACATTTATTTTCCTTGTTGTCTGATGCAAAGCATGCTGGGAAGTAGAAAACGTAATCATTTTAAGTTCACCTTACTACAACATTTTAAATTTACAGAACTTATTTCAATTAAGTACAATTCACTTTCATTATTATTTGAGTGAAGTTAACATTTCATTTAATTAATTTCACTGTTCGGTTTTACAGTGCACTATTCGGACAAATATACATAATGAAAAGATGATACAAAATTTAATACCTTGGAAAATGGCATTGAAGACTTTTTAATACTTATTAAGGGCCTTAATTTTATCTAAATTGATTAATCAACTTTTAATACTTTTTAAGACCCGGCAGACACCCTGCTCCATTACATATCTTTGTCACGTAAATCAGGAAGGGGGCCAACACTTTTTCACACCACTGTATATATTCTGTTCATGTATATACTGTATTCTATATATAGTACAAGTCAAAAGTTTGGACACAGGAATGGGAAAGTGTAAAAACCTTTGACTGGTACTATACTAGAATATCGGCCAATATATCTATCAGCCTTTTTTTACTCCCTAATATCGGTATCGGCCCCTCAAAATCCCATATCGGTCGGGCTCTAATACATACATATATATATATATATATATATATATATATATGTATATATATATAGTAATTTTGTAACAAAGACTTACAAAGCTTAGCAGTGGAAAAGCCAAAGGTTCAAAACTGATAACGTTGGCAGGCCCATATCAAAGTAATAAACAAGAATATATGGAACAGTACACCTCTTTATCTATACATTAAAAAAAATAAAGCCATTTCAACCGGTTCATTTTTAAACGAGAATAATAATAATCTATCTCGTCAACCTGTGAAGCGGCGTCCCAGCTAACATTAGCGCAGTACAGAAGTAGCTGTCAACTGTCAGAGAGCTGACAGACTCCATTGAACAAACGTTAGCGTGATGCAGCGTGTGATCTTAACTGATTATCGACAACCCTAACATCACAACTGGTTAAATATATACGTGGCGCAGCGGTGACTGCAGCAGGTGACAGTCACACACACCACAGCCGCTTCAGTGTAACGTTAGGTAAACCCACAGAGCTAACTAGCAAAACCCATTTATTACGCCCCGAATCCGACATTTTCAAACTAATTTTCAACCTATAATTATCTACGGGTCTTTCTTCTAATCCTAAAAGCGAACTCGCCCTTCACTCACACAAAGCTGACTTGCCCACTCCATTTTTGGCGGATGAATGAACCTGCTCGCGGAATTGTAGATAGTCGATGGTGTGTTAGCTGAATGCTAATGGCTCGCGAGCTAAAGCTTCATGACCTTCTTAATCAGGGTTTATGGGAGTGCACAGTTAAGCCTTTAATCTAGCGGACTGTATTACTGTCCAACCATGCAGCGCACAAAGCCATAGATAAGTAGAAACGAGGCACCGTACCTCAGGTAAACCGAGAAATGCTCCTTACCGAAGTGAAGAGTGAGTGTGTACAAGTCGGCCTTCTTCCTTCCCTCCCACCTTACATGTTTTGTCATCATATGATTCACACTTCCGTCTTCCGCCTTCATCAAGAGGAGTCTCATGTTACATGCTGCTGAATGCAATAAGATTACAGTAAAATCATCCTTGGTTTTCAGTTTGAATTCATTTAAACATAAGACTCAGATGTTATGATATAGTTAGGCGAGCATAAATTACACAATACCCTACAAATGTTGCACCTAATATCCTATTCCATTGGAAATAGCAAAACTTGCTATAGGTTATTCTGTTATATCCTCACATAAGCATGTCATAACAAAATCATCGTCAATGAATGTCTTATTTTGTGTAATGTCAAGTTTACAAATGCATTTTAACTTTCATCTTATCAAGATATCTTGAATATAAATTTTCAAACGCAACAAGTTTTCTATTTTTTGTCATTATTTCTCTTCTACTAAATTTTGAATGTTCTCTAAATTTTGATATATATTATTAAAATAATAGGTCATCGTAGCCATCATATGTGTATCTTCATTCCACATTAAAGAAGAAATACAAAGCATTTAATCCAAAACATTTTTTTATTACAAGAATTAAATTAACAGCAATTGGTTTTCAAGGAACAGTGGAATGTTGGTCTTGCAATATTGCTATTCAACACAAGACAAATTCCACAATGTCAAGACCTTACATTTCATTGTCAACATTAAAGAAAAACAATCAGCCAAACAATCTGCAGAAATTAAAAGTGAATCAATACACATTCAGATTTCAAATCATCCAACAGCCTTTTCATTTACTGAAACCAGAGCATGATATAGATTCAACATGCATTTTGTAGATCACATTCTGAACATCATATTTGCATAATGCAAATCAGATGGGTTTGCTCAAGTAAATAAAACATGTGAATCTACATGCTTGTAGTTTTGATGTCAATAATGGAAGACAAATTAAAAAAAACATCCATGCAATAAATATATATTTTTTAAATGTATAAATGTGATTAGAAAGCATAACGAATATCATCATAGAAAAGAAACATCTTTCTGTAAAAAGTTTTTGGAAAGCAGAACAGAATAAATTTTGGAGCTCAAAGTGGGTTAACTGTACAAATGTATGGCAGTTAATTAGATACTTTAACGATGACTGAATGTGTAGTGTGTATGTGTGTTTGACTAAATTGAGAATTAGGCACAGCAATATAATTTGAAAGACAGCAGAAAGCTCTACTGTCCTTATAAATACCTATGTGAGAAATTTAACAGTGTCCTAAAGTGTCACAACAGACGTTTAAATGGCAATGAACATAGAAGCAATGTGTAGTGATGCATTGTATTGCAGTTTTTACACAAGAGGTGTTGTTGAGTATCATTGGCCATGCTAACAGCAATAATCCTACGGTTGCAGTCCTTAAGGCAAAAACACTGAAAACCATTTCCATAAAATCTGCCTTACATTTTCTGACCCCTTTAATATTCACTAAAACAGCGAACATCAGAACATCTCTCAATAAAACACTTGAGCTCATAAATACACGGCAGTAATGTATAAAGCCTCCAAAAGATAACATACCAAAAGTAAACATTTCATCCATCCATTCAGAAACATACATTGTCCCTTTATGATAAAACAGTTCACTCACAACCAATCACCAAGGCCTAATAACTTACTCATTTAATATAAATAATCAATCCAATGCCAAACCAATATGTGTGTAGTGTAATTCATTTAAGTAGAGTCAACGTTTTCCCCTATTTTAAGCAATGGTCTACTAGATGTGTTTGGGGGAAAAAACACAATCCATAAACATCCACTCAAGTCAAACTTTCCTATTATACTTTCAAGTCACACAAACATCACCAGTACCAATCAGCTTAAAAAAAAAGGAAAAAGATTTCAACCACTTGGTGGCGCCATAAAGTTTTAAAAGAAATGTAATGTCTGCTGCTGATGATAACGACAGTGGAAAATATCACTACTTCATAAGCAGTTTTGGACTCAATATGGCTTTCACAATAAACGGGCCTGATTTCCTGAATGATTACCATTTCTATACATAGTTTGTAGTGATTTCCATATTTTGAAAAACATCTTATCGGTGTTTAATATGGCACTATCTTTTATTAAATGTCCTTCCATTTCTCACTTGTAGATAAATCGAGCAATTTACTTTAAACATAGACTCTAAACAGAGGAAGGCTGATAAAGCATGATCTTGTTGTTACTGTGACCTTAAACATGTGTGATTGTCTCATAGTTGACAAAACACAGGATCCATCCAGTATAACAAACATTCCCTTACCTCACACTCTCAGACTGAACCACCCAGATACATACACACACCATCTCTTCATCTGTATTTCACAAACACAACTTCTCATCCTTACTTTAAGGCAAGACAATTTGTCAAGGCAACATTCAATAGCAACATTGCATAGCTAAGGCAGAATTACCATACTGAAATAAACAGCATACATTTTGTACATTAATATTAAAGTCAATTAATAATTATTATATTTACAATACACTACCACGCATTTAAGCAAATTAACATATTTTACATAAAAACCTATACATTAAACATATTAATTTGTACAGAAAATAATAAAATACAACATTTGTTTGTCTGCCAAGGTGATATTAAGCACATGATGTGTGAATTATGTCTTCTCATAAACGTTTCTGAGAAGATTCCTCGAACCGATTCAACAAGCTGATATGCCGTCCTATTTATCCTGGGCTAAAACAACAGTACAGCCACTTAAATTACATTTCCAATTTGGATAATTTGGATTTCACATGGAAGTATGGTCAAAATGTCATTTAGGCGTTTGTCTTGCACATAAAATTACACCAAAATGATTCCAACATCTTATTCGCTCTACTGATTCTACAGCTCTTATTCTCCAGTATACAGTATACTCAGTATATTACAATTCCCTGATTAAAATAAGATTTTTACACTTCGTTCCAAAACGTAACAAATTAATACTTTACTAAACCAGCTCAAATTTTTCCTCATGGAACAAATTCAAAAACAGGTCATGAGGATATTAATAAGGAGCATTAAAACCTATACAAATCTCTAAAGGGAAATGCAGTAATTTCCTTTCTCAAACAGAAAAAAAATCTAAGGAAAAATGATGACTCGAACAAAATTAAACATAGCTCAGATGGTGCATGTACAGTAAGTAGCTCTTCGATTTACTTCACAACAGGCTATGTTGGTCCAAGATGTCAAGAATGGCGTTGTATGTTCTTTGCCACTTTAGGACACATCTGTCTCCAGTGAAATGACAGTAAGGATTCCAGCATCCTGCTACATGTTTTACACAACAGTCAGATGTGCATCATCTCAGTCTTACAAATGTGCTTTTTTTCCACCCTTCCTTTCTCTAATCTGACTATAAAGCTTTATATGCTGAGCGAATGAATACAGACCAAGTCAGTTGCTTGTGTACATCATCATCATCATTCACTACATCCAGGCCTCGTTGTCTAGGCTGGATTCTGAAGAATAGGCACACTCTCTAGAGCCAATAGCTGGGGAACGATGCTGTGGCTGGATGAGGTCAGCAAAGGCCTGATGCAGAGCTTTGTGTGAGGGTTGGTGATTGTTTAAATGTGGGGACTGTGGTGGGGTCTGGAGGGGAGATGAATCGGCAGGAGACTGCTGACAATGATTTCTGTATCATACAGGTGTAGGGATGTGTGACGGACTGTTCTCGGGTCTGTTGTCAGTGCGGGGTCTTATCCGTGGCCGTAGCTTGAGCTTGTAGATGGAGGGCACCCTCTCTGCCTTCTTTTTACCTTTCTTGGCACGGAGGATGACTGCGTCATTCGTATCCCCATTGGCCAGCGGTAGAGGAGGAGTGCAGGACCCTTCAGATGGAGGCTCACTCAGACTTAAGCACATGGAGGAGCTCTCACTGGAAGAGTCCTGGTAAGAACAGTCATCTAGAGGTGGTGGAGGGGAGGGAAATGTCTCAGGAAGTGGCAGGTCAGCATCGTCATATGGCAGGTCCAAGCGATGTTCGGTACTTTGTGGTACGTCTCCCTCCACCCTAGCCCATTCCACCAGGTCCTGCTGGCTTTTCAATGGCACCTCCGTCAAAGGGAGGCTCCCATTGATGTCTTTGGGGAGGCACACTGATCTGGATAGGCCTGGATTTGAGGCCTCTCCTTCCTCTGTGGAGCTGGAGATGGCAGGGAGCTTACGAAGACCTCCTCCTTTACCCCCCCTCCGCTCTCCCTCCAGGAGCCCTCCATTGGGGAGGCCTCCACGAATCTGGCTGTGGAGAAGAGCAGGAGGGTCCTCGAGTGCACAGGTGCGAGGATTAGTCCGTTTAGACTCTCGCAAATCAGGTAGGATTCCCACCTTACCTCCGACATTAAGAGAAGATGTTGAAGAGTTAGAAGAAGAGTAAGCCGAGTCTGTAACATTAGTGTCACCCGAAGAGGCTGGGAGCACCCCTGAACCTTGTTGGGAGCCAGGGAGCTGTAGCGACCTCATTTTCCCTCCAGTGGATGCTTTACCCTGCACAGATTTGGTGTGTTGCGTGTTGGCCAGAAACTCGGCCTCAAAGCTGCGATATAGGTCTTGCTCCTTTTGAGGGTCCAGACTTGCCAGCAGGTGTAAACTAAAAATACCACTGTCTTCCTGGCTCTCCTGCTGCTGGTTGTAGGGATTTGCCCAACCTTTTTGGTCTCTCCCTGTGGGTCGTGAATTGTGTGCAGACCGAGGGGAACGTGGTGGGTGGTGATGACTTGATCGAGGGGAAGGATGCAGAGAGCGGTGCCCTGGCTGTGTGACAGGAGGAAGCAACTTTCGACTGCCAGTGGAAGGCAACAAAGGCGCAGGGGGGCGTGGCGCTACCATCCCCTTTTTCGCAGGACTACCGCTGGCACAGCTTTTCACAGGTGAGTTAGAGGCTGAGGAAGATGCTTGCCTTCTGGACAAACTTCCATTTGTTTTTGAGGATGCTGCGGGCATGTGCTTGGGTCTTAGTTCCTCTCTCCGATCTACTGAAAGAGAATGAGGGTCTCTGCGGCGAGGTGATGATCCAAGGCTGACGTCACCCAATCGGCCTCTAGGAGTCTTGCCCTGGCTGAGGGAGCGTGGAGCCAGCAGCTTCCTAGGACCTTCGGGTCCTAGTGATCTGCCTCTCTCTGTGCGGGGAGTTCGATGTACCTCTGTTGGGACCTGTGGTGGAGTAGGTTTCAAGACTGAGGTGGACTGTGGTGCAGGGCGCTCTCTGGAAGCACTATGGGCACGGGTCTGAGGGGTTCTCAGGGCTCGAATCTGTGCTCCCGCTCCAGGACGCTCAATAATGTGTTTCCCTTCCTTACGGTTCACCAGTAGAACCACCTTGTCTCTATGAGCATGCCGTGTACCCAGAGAGAAGCGACCTCCTCCTGGGCTTCCTCCTCCACCTTTAGACGAGGCTGTAGAAGAGTCACTATCTCCTGATAGCCTGCGAGTCAGAAGAAGAGATTCCTTATTCCTGTGTGTAAGAGAAAAGAGAGAACAATTAAGATTAAGATGGATATTGGGATGTATGGGATTACAAAAAAAAACAAAAAACAAGCCATCATTCTCAAACATCTTATTTTTATGATATTTTTGACATATTTTGTGTCACATACACATCACCTTAAAGGCCTTTAATTTCTTTCTTGGTATTCTTGGTTAGAATTACTAATCCACATAACTTCCATAATCTCCATGATTTTATGTGATACTTGTCACATTTAACAACATTGAGAATCTGTACCACGCATGCAGGGAAATGCATGCAAGGCTGTATCCTCAGCAGCCATATTTTGGGATTAAAGAAAACCATCAAATAGGAAGGGAGAGACAGGGATTACTCATCCTCTGGCATTATCAAACACACGCACACAGACACTTTCTTACATATACTACCTCTTAAATTCTTAAGAATGAAACTGACATTGTCCCTCTTTCCTTTAACCTTAAACTGGCTTGTGTAAACCGAGACAAAACACTAAAAACAGAGTGTGCTTATGAATAAAATCACTGCTTTAAAATAATTTCTTAAACTTAGAACTTCCAGATCCTAAGATACACTTGAAAGTGAAAGTGCTATCTTATTCTGCCCTCATTTGATTTTATTCAAATATACGAGTGTATATTATTTAGACAAGAAAGTGAAAAACACACACCATGACACCCGGGTTCTGTAATGGGACCTGCATAAACCCTATTCTGAACGGTTTCTTCAGTGACAGACTTGGGGGCTGAGATTATCCTAATCTTCAGTAATCCAGTCTGCCTCACCTGCAGCTCTGGGAGTGCAAGTGTTAAAGTGTGCTGCTCTGACGCTTGGCCTTCATCATTAGTTAGCCTACGGAAACCGAGGCACACAGCCAAGGTAAACCAGCAAGCTGTTCATGGTCCAGTTATAAAATGTCCTGGCTGCACACACGGATATACAATATACCATGTGATGGAAATAATGAAGCACCTTTTGAAACTTCAGGATGTTTAGGAGTTATTTGTTCATTGCTCTAAGTGTGCAGTGATGCATAAAGTGTTTATATAGTCATGCTTAAATATTAATTTCAGGCAGTTGTAAAAGAAAGAAAGAAAATATATATAACTGTCCATTTGCTCAGGAAATACTAAAAAAATTAATGACTAAAAAATATGTACATTTATCCAAAACGTTATCACTTGCATAATTAGGCAGAGAGAATACTGTGTCTCCTTGTAAAATTGTAATAATATTTTTCTAACACAAGGGGGAGTCACAAACTGGACAAGAAGAGGATAGATGTCAGGACAATGTCACCTGGGATTAGTTCAAATCTGCTTGCAATAATCTGTGTGTGTGTGTGTGTGTGTGTGTGTGTGTATGTGTGTGTGTGTGTGTGCACATGCACACACACACACACACACACACACACACACACACAGTGTTTGCCTTAAGATGCAGCTCATCGTGGGGGTATAGTGCACAAGCAGAGTGCTATAATTTGTGTTGAGTTAACTAGGTCAGTGTGAGCAAATGGCAGACACCCCGAAGGATCTATACAGACAAAACAACTGTACAAACACACAATCATGCATGTGTCCCAGTCATAACACCCTAAGCTTTATTTCTTCATATATAAAGTGTGCACCCTTTTCATATACAGTGATTCTGAGAATGACGTTCTTTTCTTTGTTTTATTTTATTAATTTTTTCCTCTCTTATCATCACTATTCATATTTCTTTTTGTATGGTGAAAGTATTGGCTTTGGTTTGGCAAAAACAAAACTCAATATCATCAATAAATTAATAAAATATGAAATGTACACTTAATTTCAAAGTCCCTTCTTAAAATTTATATTTGGAAAATGTATGAATTGTTTTATGTAGTGTTTACAAGATTTGACATGTTTATACTTCTTACATCCAAAGAAATGTTTTTTCTATCATATAAAAATTGGTGACTTTCACATTCACTTTCTAGGTGTTTTTGATTCTAGTGAGACTTTTGGGTACTTCTGTTTTAGGTGCTTTCCAATAAGCTCTAAACACGCACACAAACACACACTGCTAAAAACCCAAACACACCTTCGCTGACCTGAGAGGATTCAAGTGGCATGGTTCTGATCTGTCTCGTGGCGGTCGAGGCAGGTGCTTTCCAATGAGCTCTAAACACGCACACAAACACACACTGCTAAACACCCAAACACACCTTCACTGACCTGAGAGGATTCAAGTGGCGTGGTTCTGATCTGTCTCGTGGCGGTCGAGGCAGCATTGTCGTGGGTCGCCCTGCGTTAGTCTCCATCTCCACAGTTACAGCTGCATAGTGCGACCTGCCAGGCCGTGATGGAGAGGAATGTGCTGTGGCGCCCAACACAGGGTCCAAAGAGTGCCTATCGGGGGTTTTGTAGGGTGCCATGCCCTCATTGCGCCAGTGAGGTCCTGGGCTTGTGGAGCGGGAGGAGTGAGTGCTGGAGCTCTTACTGTGAGGACCCTGGCCACTTGCTTTAGCCTGCTGATACCGGTGAGCTGTTGAGGTCAAAAAAGGCAGTTCTTTTAATATTCACAAGACAAAAAGATGATAAACTTCAAAATCATAAGTGTTTTTAAACCTAATACTTATGTACAATGGTTATAGTAAGATTACATGCTCATGAAAAGGTATTTTTTTGCGTCTTGTACATTACCGTTCAAAAGTTTAGGGTCAGTAAGTTTTTTTTTAAGAAATTAATAACCACAAACCACTAGAATAATAATAACCACAAAACACTAGAAACAAAAACTTATATAACTTGATTTTTTATTGTAACAAAGAAAACAATAGATGTGAGAAACACATGTAGTATTGTTGAAAAATTCCAAGAAGTCTCACAGCTCAGAAACAGGAAATGACAAGTGGTGATCTCACCGAATGCGGCGCAGCGACAGGGATCGTGTTTGTCGAGGTAATGCTCAAGTGTGTCCCAACCTCCACCCACGCGCACCATCACATGAGTCCGTAACACCTACACAGAGAGAGATGTTAACACCTTTCACGCACACAATAACATGCACAACCAAAATAAAATTCTCCTCTAATGTGCATCAATATAGTGGTCATATACAGTAACAAATACCCAAATTGTGTTATAAACCTTTTATACAGCTGATAAAAGAATTTTAGAAAATCAAAAATGAATATTGATGATTGTAGCCCTAGAAATGTAAACAGCTGGTTAAAAGATCCAGCCTGAAGACTGATTATTCAGCGGTAGATAACAGAAGTTTTGCCAAATGGAAAAGTACAAAACGGAGTAAAAGACTGAGTCTCAGAGCTTTGAAACAAAAACATCACAGTGTATACTTTTAAGGTATGATATCATTTGTTGTTCAGTACAATGAAAGAATCAGTAGAGGTTAGATCCGCAAGGAACTGTATGAAAATCAAATTGGTCAATTTATTAATTTTGTCCATTTGTAAATGTGACACGTGCAGAGCTGTGAAACAAGCTAACAAATTGGATTTTTCTGAAGAATAATTCAGCAGTTCTTGCCTATGCAAAAGTCACTTCTACACTTCTGTGAGTGGTTCCTAGGGTGATGCTAGTTCATGGCTAGGGAGTTATGGGTGATTTCTCACTGGCCCATGTCAAAATAAGCCCACCCCTAAGTCTCTATACTATTTAACCCCCTAAACACACCTCAGGTCCCTCTTTCAATATAAGTCTATGGCATTTTTTATCTGTTTTATTGTTCACCAGGAAAAGTCTGATCACTTGGCAAAATACATATTTTACCTCTCCACAACAAACTATAAAGTATGAGTTATTTTTCATGTCCGTAGCACAAGTAGTAGGGTTAGTTTGTTTAAATCCCTAACCCTCATTATGGGCAATAATAATAGTGACTCTTATCTTCAAACACCACTAATAATACAGGTGGAACAACATGACAGTCAGTTGATTATTATAAGCTCAACCCCCATGTCCTATAACACTGTTTAACAGAGATGCCCACCAACACTTCCTCCATCCACCTCACTGCAGCCTCCATTCGCCTTCATTATCATGACAACACGCTATGACAGAGCTGGAGAGAGAACAAAAAGACATCACGCACCAACACACTCTCCCTCATTCAACCCCCTCTCAGCTGGTATTCAGAGAGAGGGGAATGGAGGAGATTTAGCATCGAAAACAGCTCTACTTTTGTGCCAAGCCCTGTTTCTTTAGCTCTTCTCTGATGAACAGAGAGAAATGTAGGATAAGAGACTGCTACTGATTCCTTAAGACGCGAGCCAGGCCCCGGGCAGATGATGCCAATCCTGAAACAACATACAGAACTACCACATTTTGCACATCTGCTGGCTGGCACTATGCCCACCTGCAAAAACTTACACAAGGTCTCATTTTTACAAAGACTGAAACACTCACAAATACAAGCTAAACCTTAAACTGAACTGTATCTAGGTCTGTAATTCTTCTACACAGTTCTCTGCTTGTTTTTGGATGTCTTTCCTACATAAAGATGACAGGTAAGTAGCCATACACAAAATAATTAATGTACATTCTATTAATCCGTTTTATTAATCATAATTACAATAGAAATAGAAATAACTAACATTTCTGATTTCTGTCATAATTATGCAGTATTTTGCAAATGATAGGCCTGTTCATTTAACACTCTAATTTGGACAATTAATTCTGACAACAATGCAAAAAAAATGAACATTTATTAATGCCCCCTGAAGCGTATTAAAACTCTGCAATGAGGAACTTTCCTATCATTGGTTAAATTCAAGCTTGAAGTATCACCTAAACACAACGTTCCACAAGACAGCAGTCAGCCTACACCCAGCTGCTAATACAACGCACCTAGCCAAACCACACTTACTAAAAGAAGGCAGCACAAAATCAGTAAGGAGCTGTTCGCACAGGACACGTTTTTCTATATCTTAAAAAACTCTAGACAGAGTGGAACAGAATGCAGGGGTCTCGAGAGTCAAGATGCATTTATCAAAGCTAAGTCTTTAACAAATTGGCCAGTGTGATTGCAAAATGTATTGCTGTGGACTGTACCTTTTTATTCAATGATCTGTCAATAAAAACGATCAACTCCTACAGCTTTTTTTGTATATTGTTTTGTAACGGCTGCTGAAAATTCAACTTTGTCATCATAGGAATACATTACATTTTCAAATATATCAAAATAAAAAGAGTTTATTTTAAAATTATAATAATATTCCACAATATTACATAACAGACTTGTTTAAAGAAAAAAAACAACCCCAAACTTTTACAGGGTACAGTGCCTTTGAATCATCATCTGAGGGATTTTCTCTGCAAATATTGTTATGTGTAACTATTTTTAACATGTAGTTGACAGCTCAAGTATGTACTTAGGTAAATGTGACTGCAGATAGATTTGTTGTTACACTAGGCCTTAATGTAACAATTGACTTTGATTGTACCTCTACACTGGCCAATGGGAATGCTGCACTCTTTGGCGGCTTAACTCAGCTGCCCTTTAAAAAGCACTTGGGATTCAGCCCCTGCATCGCAATGGCAACAGCCAGAAACATGCTGAAACCATAATTATAATAAACAGTAAACAAAGCGAATGTTCTTTTGTGCCAAGGTCTTCATCGACAGGGATTTTAGCAATTTCGTGAGGTTTTCTCTCAGTTTACCAACATCAAAATGAGCACTGAGCATCTAAACAAAGTGTCTATCCAGAAGATGACAGATTACATTTTTCTTTGCTTTTCACCTTCTGTCTTCCTCACTGATGTTAACACAGGGGAGCTGAGCTGGGCACACACGTCTTGCAAAAAAAGCATGCACACACACACACGAAAAAACATCAGGCACAGGAAAAATCTGAGCAAATCAAGACAGATGAAGAAGACATAGAGAAAGAGAGGGATATAGGGTTGCAGTTACAGCATCCATGCGGAGGAGAATGAGGCTAAATCCAGTTTAATTGATTCAGCCCTGCTGCACTGGGGGAAGATAAAATTCCATCAAAAATGTCCTCCAGATGAGAGTGAAAATCTGTAGACCCAACAACATATTAAAAAGACACAGATGCATGCATAAAGTGCATGTAAATACCCATACACCAACAACCCCACACACACACACACACACACACACACACATATCCAGAGAGCTTGGTAGAGGACAGGAAATGACATAAGTCTCCATTTCTGTCTGCAGGATGAATGGGTGTGGGTGCTTTTAGATGAAGTTGGATAACAGGCTAAGCCTTGAATAGGTTAGCCTGGCAACTGTGTAAACACCATTCAAACCTCGGGGTTACTTATTATGGAGCTATAATTATTATAGTTTGGCCTCTATTCTGGGAATGTTAAAGATTCCAATGATACAGCAGCACAGATTCAAAAAGTAAATAACAGAATCGATGGCTTGTCTGTGGGTGTGACACCAGCATTTGTACTAAAACTTTGTAATGAAAGAAATTGAGGTGTATCATTCTGTGCCACTTACGTCACCAAATGAAATAGCAAAATAATAATTGTTTTCACACGGATTGGCATCGATTGAGTCAACCTACAGATGGCTCAACTTATAGCTAATTTTGCATATTAAGCTCAGAGAAAGCATTTAACTGAAGTTTTTGAAGTTTTTGTCTACTTGGGGAAAAAAATACACAAAAACACAATTGTTTCAATCCTTTTTAAAGAAAAAAAAACTGCAGCTTTAAGTGATAAAGAAAGAAAGAAAAAGACAGTGCCTAATGTTTGACAGAATAGACAGTTGAATGAATAACTGGTGAGTCAATTAAAAATGTACCCTGATAAAGATGAGTGCGCTGGAGTCTCCGACTTTGTATTTCCCTTCTGAGACTTTGGTCATGGGAAACTGTGATGGACAGGAGCAATGGCCCAGAATCTCCCGAACCTACAAAACACAATACAAAATCTTATTAAACAATATCATACAATATGTAGACAATCATGGTTAAAAGTTTGCAATGCTGAAACAAACAAACAAACATTTCATCACATAACAAATGGACAACAAAGATGCCAATAGTATATTTGTATATTCTGCCATATATTAGGAGGCCAAATACATAGTATGAAGCTTGCAAAAGATAAATACAGGCCTGTATGAATAATAACTACTTTAACCAATATACCAATCACACAAAAAAAGTATATAAGAAAAAAAAAAAAATGTAAAGAAACATCATACTTTCCAAGTATTTTTATTGACAATATAACTGTGTTTGATTACACCAACAAAAAAAAAGGACTAAAAATGAACACTGCATTACTAAGGATTTTTGGCCATGGTACCATGGTCCCT